AAAAAAAAAAAAAAAAAAGAAGAATTACAAGGAAATCAGATTGTAAGTATCTTAGCAAGAGGATGGACCTTCACAGGCCATTTCTCCTTCCTTTGAACTAGGCTCTGCAAGCCTATGTGGTATCTCACATGTATGTTCTAAGGGATAAATTGCCAGTAACGCAGAGAAAGGAAAATTCAGAGGAATCACTTATTTCCCCTTTACCCTGTGCTTGCAGCTGTATGAGCCATCCTTCCATCCTATTTTAAGAAACACAGATACAGCATATGGCAGCATGCAGTGTCCTCAGTGTATTTTGCATTTCTAGAACTATTTCATCTATGGAGATGAAAACTGTATGCTGAAGAATAGAATGAAAAAGAGAAATCCAATGAAGGCATGTGAAATCTCTAGGGAGCTATTTGTAGTACAATACCACAAATACTCATAAGGAAAAAATCAGCAGTGATATCAATTATCCAAAATTTTCTATCTCTTTTGGTAAGGCTCTTTTCCAATCATGCTTTATGCATCACCTAAGACTAAATTTCTTCTTTACTAAAGAGCTATAATTCTTGCCTTACACCTCAGTATGTCCACCAGCAAACCAAGGACCAATTGCTGGACTCAGTCTAAAAGAGTTAGATGGAAAATGTACATGTGTACACAACCTGTTTCATGGTACTTCATATAGATAGGATTCCATAACACTCAATTCACATATTAAATTGATACATTTATGAAAAGTATAATCAGACCAAAGAATAAACTTTGTTTCCTTTGAGGCTATTTGATGAGACATAAGGCAGCACTATTTTGCGTTACTTTTGGCTTTGCTAATATTGCAGGTTTTAAGATCCAAATCAAACCCCAAACCTCTCAAATTATTTATCTTACCCAACTGTTTTCTTTCTCATTCTGTTAACATTATATAGAATTAACATTTTCTATACAAGAATCAGGAAAAAATGTTTCAGTAAAGCAGGTAAGCCTCATGTCTACAACGTTTTAAGTTCCTTCAAAGGGATTTGTTTGGGAAGTTGCGCACAACTTTATGACACCTTACCCCCATGTTACTTAGCTCTGCATTTCACAAGGAAAGCTTATCATTCTGAGAGAGACAAAAAAAGAGAAAAATGAAGGCATGTTAGATACACAGTTCTCAAAAAGCTTCATGATAAAGTGCTCAAGGCCCAGCTCTCCCGCAGTGGTGCTTTATGTAATATATGACCATCATGTCTGGCAAGACTTCCACAGGTCTGCCCTTGATTTGTGGAAGGAAAAAGCTGAAAACCTCACAACTATTCTTCATTCCCAAGAATTAATCTCAAGTTTGGCTTCCTGATGTTTTCAATTTTAAAGAGATCCAAATAACCCCCCAAAACCACACCTGAAACATCACTCACAATTATAGCTGATAGAAGAGGGAGACCAAAGTGAATTCCCTCCCCAGGCATCCCAGAGCACTCTCCATCACAGCAGCAGCTCTAGAGTGCTCAGAGATGTAGTGATCTGAGACTTAAACTTATCCTGCATGGGCTGATGCTAGGATATGAACCAGCTTTGAAATGCTTTTACCTGAAAAGAAAGCATAATGTAACTTAAATATACACAATGCTATAAGCCTCAGGAACCAATATATATTATTGAAACTTCAAAGAAAATAGAGACTTCTCAAATTCTTCAAACCTACCTGAAAGCAAGTGGACAGCTGAACGTGTAGAGCTTTGGCCCCCAGCTGAGCTGTGCAAAATAGATGGCACTTCAACTGATTATTTCACTTTGACCTAAATAACTCCCTGAACAGTCCATGCACAACATACTAGCTTTCTTATATCTCTCCCAGTATTTCAGTAACAGGGATTGAGATTTGGCAGCAGTAAATGTAATTTGACGAGCTTAATCGCTCTTCAATGGTCAGCAGAGCTTATCACACTTAGCCAATAGGGAATACAAGCTTTAGACCAGGCCAGAGAAATTTAGAGTATACTAAACTCTAATGGCTCAATACATCATTCACAGATGTAATAACTACACTGTAGACATATGCAGTGTGTTATATGTGCCAATAAACACTGGTAGACGGTACTAGAAGCAGAATAAAACGTGGCCAGATGCCTATGATTTGCTAAATATTCAGGATTTATTAAAATATCAGCTAATTTTATTTTTGATTAGCAGAAGGATTGTACTCCCAGAAACTGATTTATTTTTCAAACAATATCAATCTCATACAATGCGTCTCCACACAAATCTTATGTCACTTAAATTCCTAGATCATTATTTTTAAAAAAAAAATTTAACTCAATATATTATTTATAAACTGAGATTTAATATCAAAAGTGATCAAGTACTCTGTCAGGTTATTTACTTAGTCAACTCTGACATCCTGATTTGAGTTCTGTGTATGCTCACATCTCTGTGAAATTATTTGATTTTAGTTTTTATTCTGAGGAAAGCACTGCATCCTTGTTTAGAAAGAAAACAAATGCACCTATCACATACTGCATTATATACATCTTTTTGAACACATGCATAAAAAGCTTGAACACTCACAAACATAGCTAAATAAACAAATCTGCAGAAAGCAGATGTGTTGCATCCTGGCAACCAGGCACTTGTTTCTACCTCTGTCAGGAGTAAACCTTTATCTTATGCCAAATATTTTAACTAGTTTTATTGTGACCAGATACAAAAGGCTCACATCAAGAGTGCCCTGAAATGACAAGCTCTGTACACCAATCAAAATCATAATGAAATCCAGTAGTGCATTTTGTCAATTATTTTAAAAGCACAAATCCGTATTTTTAAAAAATACTTTTTAAGTATTTCAAGAGATACTCCTTAAACAGCATAAAAGATGTCTGTTATTTGTTTTGTTGGAGTTTTTTTTAAAAACAACTTATGAAAAATTCTTTTGTATACCAAGGCTAATTGACTTGAGCTCATTTCCCCCTGCTCCTTCTTACAGCTACTGGAGGACCAACTGGGGAATGCAAAGCACCCACTGATAGGCAGTAGCAGCTGGAGTCCTCCCCTCCTCACTGTTACAGCAGCTCAGAAAACATAGAATGGGTCAAAACAAATATATACTTACATTACTGAAAGTAGTAAGCTAAAGTACACAATATTAAAACATTAACATTTTAAGGCATAGTAACAGAGAAATTAGAGTTCTTAGGTAACTGTCTTTCATAAACTGTTGTTAGTGGGCAAAAGAAAATGAATGGCACAGGGGAGCTATACACTACACAAGCTTTTTCTTTCTAAATTTAGGCTGTTCAGCCATGCTGCTTCTATTTGGTAGACTCCTTCCCATATTTCATGACTTGAAAACTCCAAGTTTAGCAGTTACATCAAAACCCATAGGACTTTTATCCTCTAGTGATCACACTGCTCTGACCGATTTGCAAAATATTAATGAAAAAATAAAAATCTAAGATATTCTCACTGCTGATCCACACTAATTACAAGTAGCTGCTCAACACTGAAATTTTATTTATATATATATTATCAGCCCAAATAGTTCAAAAGGTTTTATTATTAAATCACGTGCAGTAGAACGCATTATAATGCAGCAGTATGTAAGACTAAGATTACAAAGTATGAAAACATTACACCAATGCATAAATAATGCATTATTTCCTGAACTTGAATCTATCACTACAGTTTCACCAACACAAGCCTGCAGAGAGATGTAGTGTTAATTCCTCCAGTTTTGCATACAGGAATACATGAGAAATACAGTACTGCAGGAAGCATGTGAGGGTCAAATTCCATCTATTAGAAATTTTCCAGAAACCCATTATATTAACCAGATCAAGTCAAAAATGATATATTGCACTGCATATTAGACTTACCTATAAACAAACGGTACAGAGACATTGCTGTTTTTGACAGAACTCAGTACTTCCCTTCATAAGTTTTTATTGTTAGCTCTCAGCAATTTTTGAGTCAAGCATCAAACTCATTTTGTGGTCTTTAATACAAATTCCCTAGTAAGTAATGCATCATTTAACCACATCAGCTAATTATTGTTCAGTCTGAATATCTAAATTCTAATAACTTACAAAGCGTAGAAATTCTCCTAGAACAAGTTTCAAAAACGTGGAAAAAGGAGATTGTGAAAAAAAAGTTGCTGATGAAGTAATGTTGTAATAATAAAGGATTTGTCAATCAAGACATCCATAGCTATTTCCAGGGCTTTTTTATGTTTACTTTAAGTGCATGAGATAGGAGTAATCTCATGTGAAGATTCTCAGTTCACCACTACCCTATCTGATGGTCTATACACATTTTTACCCCACTACACATGCATAGTTAGTCAGATCAAATCCCACTTGTTAAATGATCTGAGTACACAACTAGATGATGATAGCCTTGCTGATACAGAATTGCAGACATTTTAATTTAATGTGAACAGTTACATCTAGTAACTGAGAACAGGAAGGAGATCATGGGTCTCAAATGTTTTTGCTTTGAATCTCCACACAGCAAAACACAGTAGAATTTGTTATACAGTTCAATGCTCTTGGAAAAACAAATCTGTATTTTGCAGACTTAATCACCTGGGTATGTAAATGTTCACCTTATAAAAATAAATAAAATTCAGAGCGTGCTACTATTTGATATACAAACATCCTGAAGACTCATAACCACACTATAACATAACCAGCCAGCATGTTACGGTTTGGAAAATACAGAAAGCATAATTATCTTTCTATTTTTTGTGTCTCCTCAAAACAAGCTAGAATGATTTGCTTTCTTGCCTATAAAGTAAGAAAAACACAATCCTTGTGAGGAGAAGGTTTTCAAGTGCTATTCTTTTTTCCTCACCCTAAACACTAAATATTTCATGGGTACAACTGGTCATTAGTGTATCCTCTGGTAGGAGAGAAGAAAACGACCAGTTCTTTGCAAAAAGAATTGTTAGATACTCAGGGAGAAACAGAAGGGCACTTTCTTTCAAGATTCTAAAACACAACTAAAGAATAAAAATAATTAATAGATTAAAAACTCACTTGTAAATGTTGAGAGTTGTCTGTCATATTGTCCTCTCGTCTACGAACTTCTTCCAACAGCTGTGCATTCTTTTTTTTCTCCAGTTGCTGATTGTGCTTCAGATTGGCAACCTTCTTGTTTTGGTCCTTCATGTGCCTAAGAATTGTACGTACATATGCATTACTACCGATGACTGCAATGACATTTTTTCACTATAAACCAACTTAAGACTATGACAAAGGGCATTAATTCATCAACTTACGGATGTATTCCTAGTGTCAGATCTAAACAAACTTTACCTTGTTCCCAGTCTGTCATAGTGAAAATGAAACAGCTTTGATGTCGTCAGATTATATAACAGTAAAGCAATTATTGTCGCTACATTGTTCCTTTTTATCATTTGCACACAAATACACATACATGTCTTCTGAAAAACTGTTGCAGCAGAGGAAGATTATAAAACAATCCTTTTTTAAGTAATTTGAACTCTAATAATGTAATGAAAGATTAACAAGTTTATAAATAACTTCTTGTGAAAATGAAACAAACTTTATTACCATCACATATTTTCTGTTAAGACTGTTCTCAAGTAAAAAAATATTTTGTTAGTTTACTTAAAAGTTTAATTATATTTTTCTCTGGGTCTTATTCATTAAGCCATGAAAAGCTTTTCTGATTGTAATACATGGCACATATCTTTTTAAGAAAGAAGACAAGCTAATTCTGCCTGGCAGGAAGTGGAAAAATATCCTTGCAGTAATATTTTCTACCTGCTTGGATTCTTAAATTATTTTCTCAACTTTCCTTGACTTTGAGGAATTTGTTCTCTTTTATCTATTTAAAAATAAAGTCATGTGCAAATTCCTAATGAGATCTACTCACTAATCCTATTTTGGCAAATTAAGAGAATATTATTCAATGCCCAGAAGGACCACTGAAAACATTTCTGTTGCTTCCACAGTAGAGCTTTCAGTAAAAAACAAAGTTATAGGATATATTTCTTCCATTGCTTTCCTTATGCTAAAGAAGCAAGGTCATTTTATGTTTAGTTCTATCACTTCTTTCTTTGTCCTACTACTGGTTCTTTCATTAATTATTTAAACTTAAAAATTCATGATGAATATTTAATTAGTAAATATTGCCATGGTACTAAAAATCCTTAGAAGAAACTTCATACAAAAATTTTGTTACAGAAAAGTTGATTTACTTCTATTACTAAAAAGAAAATATCTTCAAGCTCCTTACGGAGAAAAAAAAAGCAGGTACAATTGATTCAAATAACAAAAATCTTTGCTACCTTAAATAATTTAATAAATTTCAATCAAGAACTACCATGGGAATCATCATTATTCTTTATGATCGGGGATGCTGAAACCAAATTTAGCTTTGTGAAACATCTGTGAAATTGATTCTTACTTTACCTCAACATGGGCTGCAATCTGTGGACAAATAATCTGAAAATGAATTTTTTTCTGCCAAGAAAATTCCAGAAAACCTGGAATACAGCCTCCATACCTTTACATACAGAAGTCCAGAATAATCTAATTTCTCCCCACTTAAATACAAAAATGTAGCTTTTATTACTTGTTTACTTATGGCAATTTAAACTACACAATGTGACACAAGTAACTGAAACATACATGTGTGAAAATATTCTATGAAATTTGATTTCCTAGCAAAGAATTTCCAACAGAGAACACAGAAATGCAGCTTTTCTCTGAGATCTCCAGAATGAAAGAAAATGATTTAACAAAATCATAATTATTAACAGAGAAATTAACAAAATATGAAACAGAAACATACAGCATAAATAAGACATTCAGTGAATATAAAGCTACAAATGCACCCTTCAATTTCCCAAGTCATTTCATTTTTTGAAAGCTCTAGCACAAACCTGGGGAAAAAAAATACTGAACTTTTCTGAGTACAGTACAGCACTACTAAATTAACTAGTACTTTAAATGTTTCTATTGATTTTACAAGTATCAAAAAAAAAATGGACTATCAACTTAGTTCAGCCTCCTATAGCGACTCATAAAACATGCATGGAAAACAGATCGCAACAGAGTGAATGACACTGATTAATGAAAACATGTAGAATTAAAAGAATCTACATCAAGCTCACAGATAACTGTTTTTTAAAGAGAAGTATGAATTCCTCCATTTGAAAGACAGTGTTACAATATTTGCGTAGGTCTGTTAGGATCTACACAAACACTATAAACAATAATAAATATTTTAAATAATAATAAATAATCTAAATAGAGTAGAACTACTCTGCCTTCGTGAGGCCCCATCTGGAGTACTGCATCCAGGTCTGGGGGCCCCAATACAAGAAAGACAGGGAAGCTGTTGGAGAGGGTCCAGAGGAAGGCCACAGAGATGATCAGAGGGCTGGAGCACCTCCCCTACAAAGACAGGCTGAGGGAGATGGACTTGTTCAGCCTGGAGAAGAGAAGGCTGTAGGGTGACCTCACAGCAGCCTTCAATACCTAAAGGGAGCCTACAAACAGGAGGGGAGCCAACTCTTTACAAGGGTAAATAATGGCAGGACAAGGGGAAATGGTTTTAAGTTGAAGGAGGGAAGATTTAGGTTGGATGTCAGAAGGAAGTCCTCTACCAAGAGAGTGGTGAGTTTGGAGCAGGCTGCCCAAAGAGGTTGTGGATGCCCTGTCCCTGGAGGTGTTCAAGGCCAGGTTGGATGGGGCCCTGGGCAGCCCGGTCCCGTATTAAATGTGAAGGTTGGTGGCCCTGCCTGCAGCAGGTGGGTTGGAGCTTGATGATCCTTGAGGATCAGGGTCTCTTCCAACCCTGGCCATTCTATGACACAAAAAGATAATTAGCATAAATAGTTGTTTATGCTACAAGTTATACACCTGAGACTCTTTCCTTTAGACATATCCTTAGACAAATAACAAGACTCTTAGGAAACAAAACTTTCTCCCTATCTAGAAGAGTCCATGAAGAATAATCATAAGTATAGACCTAATCAGAAGAAAAATAAAGTGAATAATAGAAAAAATGTCTTTTTCAGAACTTTGTATATACGTGGTGTTTGACAATTTTTTTGCTGTTAGTATGACTGTGCTCTTACAATATAAAACGATTTTCAATCTATTGCTGAATCAGTGATAAATTCCTATTTAATCTCTGCAAGAAGTTGAATTTTATGCCTATGCCAACAGTTTTTTTCATTGCCTTTCTCTCTCACAACTTCCTATTTCAATTTCTAATGCCACACCAAAACATAAAACATTGTGAATCTCCAAAGAAAAGCACCTGGTGCCTGTGATACGCACAATCCCAAAGAGCAGAAAATAAATGAAAGCCATATCATATTCTTTCTTCCTCAAATGATTGTGTGCATGTGGAAACTAAATAAATATTACAGTTTAAAAACCTAGTTGTCTAATTTTCTTACATCTCCCATAAGGGTACAGGAGGAGTTCAACACAGAAAAAAGACAACACATTTCCCTCTAGATTATAATTGCATTTCTTTTAGATGGCTTTAGAGAGTTCGTAGGACTGGCACATGGAAGAGAGAACACAGTGCAGTGCCCTCACTTTATGCAACATATACTCAGGAAAAAAAAAAAAAAACATAAGCAATGAAATGTTTTGTGATGAGCTCACTGTGCATACAAGGGAACCTCCTGCACAGGTGTGCAGCATCTGCACAGTGCATGGGCATGGGCAGAAACTCCAGAGTTTCAGAAAGCTTGAGACTGTTGAGACTCACTAAGCTTTTGCTGTACTTTCAGTACACTTCTAAGTGCCCAGGATTTCAGACACAGAACAGCCCAGATACAGCAAGAATATCAATGTTCAGATATCATGGGAAAAATATCAAATGAGTGATTCTAATGAGACAGTCCTGCCAACTGAAAAGCATTCAGGGAAATAAAATCATTTCTGTCCTTGGTCTGAGTTTGAATTTCCAAACAATTAACTAATAAGTTGTTTTGTGAACAACTGTGAATTCATCTTATGTTATTCATCTTATGTTACTTCTCAAGTATAGCAGCTGATTCAGTAGACACTCATTCATCTCTTAGCTCCTGCTTTCCTTTCTGCATGACAGTATTTCACTGTTGTCACACAGCAACAATTCTGGGAAATCCCTTCCTGGTGGATGAGCTAAATTTAATAGTGAGAAAACAGACTCCCACCGCTCAGATCACAGATTGGTTTGAATTGCAAGAGGCCTTAAAAATCACCTACTTCCAACACTGTCCTCTAGGAACAGGTTTCCCAAAGCCCTGCCCAACCTGGCTTTGAACATTGTCAGGAATGGAGCATCCCAACACAGATGTTTTGCTTCACAGCAAAGGGATGCAGAGAAATGCATCCTTAGGACAGTCATGAGTTTAACACATTTTCTTTTCTTTTTTTTTTTTTAATAGGAACATTATAGAAATACATAACTCTAACTCTACAAAAAAAAATTTACCTTGGCTCTTAATAGAAACTAGATAAACTGACAAGCAAAACTGGGAGTAAATATGTATACAAATAAATGGCCACTAAATCTGAGAGTCTTGGCAACAAAAATTCTAGTGGAAAAGTGAAGATTTAAATCTGCCTGCTTATAAATGAATAAGAATAATCTAGAGTATATATTTCTTTGGCCATTGTAAAAATTTTCAGGAGGTGTTTCAAGTTCACTAGATTGCAGTATTTTCCAGGTCAAATATATATATATTTTTTTCAGTAATTGTAATGACTACATTTAACCACATTCTTTTTTTTGTCTGGTTCTTGTGGAACAAGATACAAAATGATCTCACAGGTCAGACTACAGTTTATTTAATTACTTTATTCCAGCTTTTTAAAACAAATATTAACACTTAGTTTCTGCCTGTATGCAAGTATCTTTCAGACTTCATTTCACAGTAGTGCATAACTGTCGTCTACAGTCAAATGCTTTCATCTCTCTTGACTATAGAGAAAGTCATGCTATTTCATTAAATTCCCAGCTTTAATTAACCACCTGGGTACCTTGGCCAAAAAAGTAGGTAATGTCAGCCAAAACCAAGTGTTACATGCTCAGTATAGCCTTTACTCTATTTCATAAAGACTTTTTTTCCTAAAGCATCCAAAAAATGCAGACATGTGAAATACCCCTAAGAGCAAAGTCTATAACATTTTCTGAAG